TAATGCATTGCACACAACCGGACATGTCATATTGGCAGGGGATGTGAGTATTTCATACTTGTTGTAGGTTGAAATGCGGGCCCTGGAGACATAAAGGATGGGTGTTCAATGGAACATGTACGTTTTAACTGAATGTGATCGATGAATATATTTTGTCACAATTACCATTTACAGAGAATGGGGAAGTCCTTGAAGCCTGTTAGATCCTGGGGTCCACGCAGCCAACACAGTCACACCTGAACGTGTATAGCAACTAAAATGAGAAACCAATTCTCATTAGGGCTCCAAGCCGAAAGGCTGTAGAGCCCTATTGTAATCGTTCGATTTATTAGGGCTCCCTGCCTACAAGGCAAGAGCCCTATTGTAATTGTTCGATTTATTATTATTATTATTATTATTCTTTATTATTATTATTATTATTATTATTATTCCGGCGTTTTTTGTTCCAATCCTACCTCCAAAACTACTGCTCAGAATCTCTTCAAAATTTCCACAAAGATAGCTCAGGTCCTGAAGCAGATACCACAAAAATCTCAAGACTCTAGACTCCAAGACTAAGGGCAGATAACTCAAAACAACTCTAAAAATCCCAATTTCAACAGCTCATAACTCCGCCACGAAAGCTCCAAAGACTTCCAAAATTCCTGAACAGATCCAGAATCAGAAGCCCAACAAAATCTCTACACATCCAATGTAGCCAAATTGCTTCGTTTGGCCTCCATATTGGATTAAGTGTTTTGGCACTGTTTTTTACCAGATATCTCAGTACTTGACTCCCAAAATCTCCTCAGCTCAAACTACCAGCTCAAAAGCTTCCAAACTCTCCACACTTTGGCTCCAAGTACCATACTAACAACTTCAAAGAAAATATACATATGTGATACGTTGACCTGATAGCCCTATTCCTGGCGATTCCAGAACACCAAACCGTTTGTCTGTAGCTCCATGGACAACGGAGTTAAAGCATTTTGAAAATAGCACTCTTTGGCCCAGGTCCATAAACTTCAAACTTGCCAAATAGCTGAATTCTAAATACCCGTAGCTGAACTCTAAATACCCGTAACTCCGAAACTACTTGTCCGATTTCGACCAGATTTTGTATATGTATATTGAGTGGGGATGTCTGTTATCACGACCAATTGTAGTGGCATAGGAAATAAGACGACGGGGAGAGAAATTATGCATAATTTATGTATAACAACATCTTTCAACATATTGCTCCTAGCCAGATCATTCTATAACTGGCAGACTAGGCAATCTTTAGTATTTACATGTGCACATCTCATCCCTGAGCACAGGTCAAATGACAACATCCATTTCCTGCATATTACAATAACAAGTCACCAACACCTCTGCATGCTGGTATCTTCCATACTTAACAGGTACAGGGCCAAAATGGGAATTTTTTTCTTGGTCAAAACGGACAGGTGAAATATCCTATTGATAATCCAGATCATATTATAGTCGTGCACAGTATAGCACATATCCTTCCGCATATCCGAATGCTTTTATATAACAACAGGAGAAAATGCATTAATGGTAATCAATTAGTTTTATTAAGAACTCAGTTTCAATGGTTTTTAGTACTCTGTATAACCAAAGTGCAATTTTACAAAAGTACATCTATGAATAGAACAGGATCCGCTTCCACAATTCTTACAAAGCGGGAGCCCGACATCGCTGCTTGCAGCTATATTTATTATTTATTATTATTATTTATTATTCCGCCGTTTTTTGTTCCAGAGATAGCAGTTTAACCACTGGCTCGATTTTGTTCAAATTTTGTGTGTGTGTGCAAGTTGTTAGGTACCAGATACCACAAAAATCCCAAGGCCGTAGGCCCTATGGCCAAGGGCAGATAACTGAAAAACAAGTATTTTTTTAAGATATATTTCGCCTTATTGCTCCGCAACCGCTCGTCCGATTACTTTCAAACTTTACACATGTCTGCTGTTTAGGGTGCTTAACATTTTCTGTTCTTTGATCTTGGCCAGTGGTCACGTGGTTTGGCAGCCATATTGGATTCAAAGTTTTGACGGGGTTTTGGGGGTACCTGTCTTCAAATCCTATCTCCTCTGAATCCAATGCATGAAATGCATCCAAACTTTCCGAGTACTGTCTCCGTACATATCACATCAAACTCTGTTAGCCGATTTTGGATATCTTTTTTAGTTGCTGCCATATTGGATTCAAGGTTTTCACAGGGTTTTTTGGGTACCTGTCTTCAAATACTATCTCCTCTGAATCCGCTGCATGAAATGCTTGCAAACTTTCTGAGAATTGTCTCCACACATAACACACCAAACTCTGTTAGCCGTTTTTGGATATCTGTCTTAGTGACGGCTCTGTTTGATTTTGATTTTGGTGATTTCTTTCACCGAATTTTTCCTTTATATAAGGATCACATCTTGTAAGGTTCTCCACAGAAACTATTGAAAGTTTACATGAAGTTAGTCGGACACATGTAGCTCATCTTTTGTTCTTGGCTGCATGCTAAAAGTAACACCGCTTGGTGGTAATATGGACAAAATACCGAATACATCGCTCAGAAAACCTAGGGTTATTTCCCTTTGACCGTCAAGTGTCTTTTGCAGTATGTATGCTGCCCTTGAAGATGAGGGTTAGAATTGGTCTTCAGCAACCCATGCTTGTCTTAAGAGGCGATTATCGGGATTCGAACATTGTCTGGGTGGTAAATGGGTTTAGAACATTCTGGTTGACTCTGGCACACGCCAATTTCGTAGCGGTGATGTCCTGCAAACAGTGACTATCTTTTGCATGAGTTGGGACAAGCAAACCCTTTCAGGATTCGAACATGAGGATTCGCGGTCAGAAATGGGTTAAGAACACACTGGGACATATGTGGGGATGTCTCACAAACGGTTCCTTGCGTTTGACGGCGTTGGTACAGGCAAACCATTTGAGGATTCGAACATGGTCGAAGTCAAACATGGGTTAAGTACACACTGGGACACATGTGGTGATGTCTGACAAGCGGTTCATTACATTTGACGGCGATGGTACAGGCAAACCATTTGAGGATTCGAACATGGTCGAAGTCAAACATGGGTTAAGAACACACTGGGACACACGTGGTGATGTCTGACAAGTGGTTCATTACATTTGACGGCGTTGGTACAGGCAAACCATTTGAGGATTCGAACATGGACGAGGTCGGAAACAGGTTTAGCACTTTATCTCAGCAATACCACATAAACCCGGGGCCCTGACGAACTCAGAACGCTCCTCCATTTGACTGGAGCTCAACTGACAAAGAAGTTACAGTCTGGTTCAGAGTCACCAAGCCGAAAAGCTGAAGAGTCCCAGTGCTATTGTTCGATTTAATATTATTATTATTCCGCCGATTTTTGTACCAGAGCTAGCATAGTAACCACTGCCTCGATTCCATTCAAATTTTGTATGTGTATCCAGATACTTACGTACCAGATACCACACAAATTCCAAGGCCGTAGGCCCAAAGACCATGGGCAGATAACTGAAAAATAAGCAATTTTAAAAGCTATATTTTGCCCTATTGCTTCGCAACCGCTTGTCCAATTACTTTCAAACTTTAGATGTGTCTGCTGCTTTGGGTGCTTGACATTTGATGTTCTTTGACTTTGGTCAGTGGTCACGTGGTTTGGCAGCCATATTGGATTCAAGGTTTTCACAGGGTTTTTTGGGTACCTGTCTTCAAATCCTATCTCCTCTGAATCCACAGTCTGAATTGCATCCAAACTTTCTGAGAATTGTCTCCATACATTATACATTAAACTCTGTTAGCCGTTTTTGGATATCTTTCTTAGTCATCGCCCTATTGGATTTTGATTTTGATGATTTTTTTCACCGAAATTTTACTTCAAAGATCATATCTTGTAAGGTTCTCCACAGAAACTATTGAAAATTGACATGAAGTTAGTCTGACATGTATACCTCATCTTTTGTTCTTGGTTGCATGCTAAAAGTAACACCGCTTCGTGGTAATATTTGATCAATATTTGGGACACCCCTGGGACACCCCTGGAACACGCCAATTCGTAGCAGCGATGTTAGGTGACAATTTTTGAACGGAGTTGGTACAAGCAAACCCTTTGAGGATTCGAACATGTTCAAGGTCGGAAGAGGGTTTAGAACAGACTTGGATGCCACTGCACATGTCAATTTCGTAGCGGCGATGCCCTGCAAGTGCTGCCTACATTTGACGGATTTGGCACAAGGAAACCCTTTGAGGATTCGAACATGGACGTTTGTGCGCAGTGTTACTTGGAGCCCGCCATTGCTGCTAGCAGCTTTAATTTTATACCTGTAATTCTTGATTTCCGCTTCATTTGGTGATCACGTGACAAAAGACACGCTAAAGCACAAACTGGCTGCTGGCAAACTCTTCACCAATTATGCCCCAGTGGCATCTTACCAAACATACGAAGACTTAGTAACTATCAAAGCTAAATCTATTTAATTATTTTATGATACAAGTGATAGTGTAAACGCATTAACCAACGATCTTTGTATTGGGTTCCCATGTGGTCACCTGGCAGGGGGGAGTTTTAGGCCATTTTTTGCAATATTCCAGCAGAGGACACCAGAAATGGGCTTCCCACATTGTACTCATGTGGGGAATCGAAGCTTGGTTTTCAGTGACGAGGGAACATTTTACCACGAGGCTACCCCACCGCCCCTGGTCTAACAGAAACTCCAGTAAGCCGTGTACTATGGACTTTTTTTTTTATGTAAACTGGGGTATTAGTTTGTTTATGGTTTAACGCCACACTCAGCAATATTGCAGATTTATGATGGCGGTCAGTAAATAATCATGTCTGAACCAGACAATCCAGTGATTGACATCATGAGCACCAATCTACACAATTGGGATACAATAACATGCATCAACCAAGTCAGCGAGCCTTAACCCCTTAATGATTTGTCACCTCCTGCAACAAGCATGCCTGCTGAAGACCAATTCTTCCCTGGATTTGGGATTTAAAGAGCAAACAAACAAATAGTACCAGTAACTTTATTGTCCATAGCAACATAAATTATAAATGCATGGTTAAATATCCTAAAAATAACAATGGAAATATTTTGTAAACATCTTTACAAAACAAGTATCAAACAAAGAGAAACTGCATTAACTTGGCCCTTGTTATTGTGATCAAATTCTGCGTTCACGTCCGAGAAAAGTCCTTATTGGCACAAAGGTGTAATATTCAATTTCACTAAAATCTGCTAAGATGATCTCTCTGCAGGAACACCCCTACAGGTCGCATCAGGTGAACTTTCTAATTAGACCAGCATCTCGAAAACTGAGTTAGAACAGGCAGGTCTGAATGTAAAAGTATAGGCTGTGCCATTATATTGTTGTAGGCATCTACACCAAAAAGGAATATTTGTGTTCTGCATCTGTTTTCTTTTGTTAATTTTGTTTTTTTACACAACATTCAGAAATATTCTAGCAATATGGCGGCGGTCTGTAGATAATCGAGTCTGGTTCTGACATTCCAGTGATAGATATCGTGAGCATCAATCAATGCAATTGGGATTCAATGACATGCATCAACCAGGTGAGCGAGCCTGACCACCTAATCCTTTTAATCGCCTCTTAGGACAAGCATAGTCGCCTTTTACAGCAAGCATGGGTTTCTTTTGTTAAGAATGAAATTTGTGAACTAATGTGGCAAAGAAATTAAGCCAAATGGTTTTGGAAAGATGACATCTAATTGGCTCAAAACCCCAAGCAGCCTTCATATAGACAGTTGGTCAAATTTTGTTCATGTTTCACCTTGCATTGAATCACCGACCTTCCGTTCTCCAGTCAGGCCACAACACCATGGAGGTCTTGAGCTCTAAAGGAAGGGTTGTCAGATCTTCAGTGTTGTATCAGAGTAAAAGATCTGATTTTAAAGAGATTTGTCTAATGATAGTGCTCGACTCATCTTCAACTCGGGATAAGTCCACACATTCATTGGTCACAGGACTTCAAATTAAGAAGATTTCGCTGTTGCATGAAGCATTCGTGATATGTGATATGAATATTGCCACAAGAGTGGATAACATGGAATGTTTTTGGCTAACTAGAAATGACAATCAACAAAGCCGACCAAGAGATCCATTCAGACACTGTGTACGACCCTTGTGTGCACCTCACAACCATTGCAGGAATGAGATTTTGGAATTGGCACAAAAACTGGTCTGACATAAATAAAAGAAAAATACATGTTAGGATGTTTCTTTCAAAAAAAATGTAATTATTCAAAACCCACTAAGAACACTGGAGATAGCAAATATAAATCTTTGCACCACAGTGAGCAATACTCCAGCTGTGTTTACCACAGAAGCCTAATAATCCTGTCTGGCCAGGCCAACCAGTGCCTGATAGTGTGAGCATCTGGATACAATAACACACCCTTGTCATCCAAAGATGCCGATGAAATTTTAAATTACTTCATTGACTAAATAGAACCTTTTTAAGAATATATTTCATAACAAAAATGTAAACCAGGTTTCAGGGTTTGACCTTTTTTTTTTCTCAATGTGGAAGTTTAGGTTAGGCTACTTTCAAAAAAAAAAGAAATCAATCAGTGATTACTGTCATATATAGCTTAATTATCTGCAACTCACTGAGATTGTAAACATAAAAGTAACTTCACCTAGTTTTAACAATTGCAATTTTGATACCTGTGTTAACACAAATCTCTTTCCATAATCATAAGAAATCTCTGCTTAAGGCCCAGTCCGACTACATCATAAAAAAATCTGACTATGTCATATAAAAATATATCATCAATGCTAGAAAACAGTCTTTATCGTCTGAGGAACAGATTCCACCAGACACATAAGGCAAGAGGAAAAAACTAAAACGTATATCAATCAGTAATTATTATCGTCTCCAGCTTTCATTGGCTATTTTGTTTTACAAGATCTGCTTCATTACAAAGTGAAATGTTCTGGAAATATTTACAAGGCCACACGCAGAAGAATTTTGTCATCAAAACATAAAACAGTTGACTCTCCTGACATAGACACCTCTTAAGGTCAACAAGTTTATTGTTTGTTTCTCATCTTTTTTACACACAAAGGTTATATATCCACCCACTAGATATGTGTATCATCCACCCCAGGAACAAAAAAAATGAATTTTCCATGTCATAAGAAAACACACGTTTCTCTGTATTTTATCTTTAGAATATTTGAAGATTTTTCAATTTCTTATGAGTCTAATAGCCTGAATGTTGTGAGTAGCGTTTTCAACAGATACTAGTGTGTTAATACGGACTATATTGGCTGAGTGACCTGGGGCTTCTTGTGATGAAGTCAGTAGAAAAGATCAGCAGGACATTCTAGTTGGAACAATGACAGAGTAAAATTTTTCTCAGATAAATATTCCCTTTCCCAAAAAAATAAAAAAATACAAAAGCAAACATCCGATGAAAAACTACACATGAACCAAATATCATGACATTTTCATGCAAAATGTCTGAATAATCAGATATTTGTATTGTGATCTAAAAAAGATTGAGCAGGTCATGACATAACCTTACTTGTCTTTCTGTCAGGTGAGCTAAAAATCTACATGATGTGATCCAACTTTCCAAATTTATAATGGAAAATAGTAAGTGCTATTTGCACAACTACTGTGACAAAATCACACTTTACTATAGAGTCAGACGAGGAAATCACTAACCATCTATACAGTTTTGTATAAAAATATAATTAATAGCATTCAACTTTTTAAAATACACTAACCATGAAAGGACTGATGACATTATACAATGCTATGACATCACAAACACAATGCAATGACCGCATTGTTTAAAATAAGTTACTTCAATTCACATTTTCGGTAACCACTACCAAACCTTTCGCAAAATGGGAAATAATTCACTCCGTTCACATGCACAACATTTACTCACGTAAGAAATTTTACACATGTGTAACTATACACACGTGTGTATATGTAAATATACGATGCATTCACATACAAATATACTAAGGTGTGTAAATATGGTATGTAAATAGTGTCAGGCACCAAGGCCGTAGTTAACTTTTTTGGACGGGGGGGTGGGGGGGGGCAAATATGTGTACAAGTATCACTTGTCCCCAACTTGATTCAAATAAAACTGTTTTCTATAAACAATCTAGGGTGGCAACTGCCCCCGGCCGGCTGCGGCACTGGGCACACATCTTCATCAGTCTGTTCACGACTTTCAACATGAAAAGGTTGTTTTCCAATCAAAGTCGAATGAGAAGAGAGTAACCTTACAGGAATCTTCACATGAAGCAACATGTGTTTGATGTAATCTGTACACAATTGTTTTATGTAATGTGTTCTCAAGTTTTTGACTCCTTGAAACCCAAAGAAGATACTGTCCGCCCAACTCTGAATGTTCGCACAAAAGTTGGTACAAAAGTGGACACTGTATACTGAAAAGCAACAAAATGAACAAAACTGCTCCCAATTTGTTTGATGTTGGCAAATCAACAGATATATTGATTATATCATCCCGTGACATTGGCGCAAACATTCACATGACAACATATACAGTGCAAATTTGCACTTGTGTATATTTACATTTGCACCTGCTCCAGATATGGTGCAAATCTGCTCCTGGAGTAAATATACACACATAAGTACACAAGTTCACATGACAAGTATACTCACATATGTATATTTACACACATATGCAAATATACACAGATATGTATGGAGGTGTATGTAAACAGGGTGGGAGTCTTGGAATCCTGTCTGCATCGACTGAGTTTGGAGTGAGTGAGTGAGTATGGTTTTACGCCGCTTTTAGCAATATTCCAGCAATATCACGGCGGGGGACACCAGAAATGGGCTTCACACATTGTACCCATGTCGGGAATCGAACCCGGGTCTTCGGCGTGACGAGCGAACGCTTTAACCACTAGGCTACCCGACCGCCCCCGACTGAGTTTGGAGATAGATGGATCTAGACTCCAAAGACTGAGCCACTCTGTGAACACAAATTCCTACTAAACGACTTCAACAATGCTATGTATTATGTAATAAGGGATGAGCAGGGCTTGAGATGATCTGTGTATTTGTGTAAAATATTATGCAAAATAAATCACCATAACCCATCACAAATATGCATAGTTTTGAAGCATAACTATTTTTAAAAAATGTCTACTCATTGGTTAAAAAATACCCAATAGACTGGATCAAAGGGATTAAAATATATTCAATAACCAAAATCTAAAACGTCAATGCTTGAGAACGATCAGTCTCTATCTGCCAAAATAGTTCCAATGGCAAAAAAGGGAAAAGAGTGATGAAAATAACATGAATGGATCACCAGGTGTTCGTGACAAGAGAAAGCATGTCTGCTCTATTGGTAGCAGCTGCCACTCACACTATCTCAACATCAAATAGAAGTGAAAACTGAATAGCACAAAACATTATCTGGAACGAAAGCCGATTGGGGTCAACATTGAAATCTGGAAAAGACACAAAAAGAAATTTGTTATAAGGGAAAAAGGATTTGTTATTACGGAAATAATTTTGTTATGAGGGAAAAAAGATTTGTTATTACGAAAAAATATATCGTTATAACAAATCTTTTTTCGTAATAACAAATCTTTTTTCATTATAACAAATTTATTTTCGTATCTTTCCCATATTTCAATAAACCCAATTTCGTAATCTGGAGCCATGGATGAGGCTGTAATACCAAATACAGGCAGTAGAGCATACCTCAATATTAAAAAGTGGTATATTATTATTAACATTATTATGAATATAGTTTTAAAAAATACATAAACTTCAAAATCAAGTCAACTTGACCAGTGTAAGATGAGGTAATGTTTATCAGCATGTTAACTACTTCACAGCACATTCCACGAAATTCCATCAATTTCCACTGAGTTCCATGGAATTTCCATGGATTTCCACTAATGAAACATTTTGGCGTCTTTGGTATGGACAATGGTCTCATTTGGCTTCAACAGGTTCAAGTTCACATAATGTAACTCATAGCAACAAGATCTCAACTTCTTTGTGTGAAGGGATTTATACTCTCCAAACGGATTTTTTCTGTAATTAAATTTCCGGAAATTATGCTTCTCCAATTTCCGCAATATTCCATACATTCTCACAAAGTCTTCAGCGCCAGTTGGTAAATCAATCAAGGAAACTTTGAATAGTTCCCGGGAGTGCATTTCGAATCCGATTTGTTTGACGTTCTTGAGAGATCCGTCAGCCAGCATAGACTCTATCACCTTCCATTCCGAGTACTCGATGTCAAACTTCACGTAGTTGATGTATGTCTGAAATCAAAACACCAAAGAACTTTCATGTCTGTTTGTTTGTTGTTTAGCAGGTATCTCAAAACTGAGTCTGGACCCGCCAATCCAGTGATTGATATAATGATTCTCGATGTCTGGTATGATAACACGTAATCGACTCAGTCACTGAGTCCGACCACCTGATTTGTTCACTTTTATTGAATAATAGTAAACTTAGGAATAAGAGACACTAAGTGATAGAGGAAGAGATTGGTATACAGATTTTCAAATAATATATGACTTGTAGCCAGTTGGAGATGACTATGATGACACGCAATCAACCAAGTCACCGAAACCTCTCGACCTCACAATGTCGTCTTGTACAAGCACCAGTTTTGGAGACCAGTATTTTCCTGGAATCACCATATATCCAGAATAGCAGGTGAGGTGAAATGTGGTTTAGCAATATTGCACATACATAGCAAATATGCATGCACATGTGTGTTTGGCTGTTTGTACTAGTCTGGACTAAGGCAGGTTTTAAAATGCTAGCCCACTGAGATACCATGCCACAGATTAACATGAATACACTGACTCTGAGGGAACCAGAGTTTTATCCCCTTAATGCCAAGCGGCAGTTTGATTGTTAGTTAGTTGGTTGGTTTACAAAGACAAAAAATGACATGACCAGTTCTTATGTCCGCAAGTAAAACAAGATACCTGACGAGTCAATCAATAAGCAAACACTTAGGCTCTCATCATTATTCAGAAAAGGGGTTACGGTTACATTAGAATTCCTAACTTGTGAAAAAAATGTGCAAACTGGAATTGGTAATCCTCGTTCAATAATTTGCACTTATTTTTGAAACTATCATTATTAATATTGCTGCAATCTGATATACTTACAATAAAATGGTTCTAAACAGACCCTGAATCCACAGTTTGGGAAAGCCTGTCAACATGATCAAGGGGGTTTGTCACATAGTCTGCTCATGCTGTATCATACACAATCTCCTCACTTTGCATATCCACAACCATGTACATGTGACCACACCCGTGAACATCCAGGGTAGAACTGGTCTCCAGCAACCCATGCGTGTCGTAAGAGGCAACTAACAGGATCGGTTGGTCCGGCTCACCAACTTGGTTGATCGTACACTTACATTCTGATGTCTGTTGTCTCTCAAGAAGTGGACACTTACATTCTGATCTCTGTTGTCTTTGAAGAAGAGGACACTTACATTCTGATGTCTGTTGTCTTTGAAGAAGTGGACACTTACATTCTGATGTCTGTTGTCTTTGAAGAAGTGGACACTTACATTCTGATGTCTGTTGTCTCTCAAGAAGAGGACACTTACATTCTGATCTCTGTTGTCTTTGAAGAAGAGGACACTTACATTCTGATGTCTGTTGTCTCTCAAGAAGAGGACACTTTCATTCTGATCTCTGTTGTCTCTCAAGAAGAGGACACTTACATTCTGATGTCTGTTGTCTCTCAAGAAGAGGACACTTACATTCTGATGTCTGTTGTCTCTCAAGAAGTGGACACTTACTTTCTGATGTCTGTGGTCTCTCAAGAAGGGGACACTTACTTTCTGATGTCTGTTGTCTCTCAAGAAGAGGACACTTACATTCTGATGTCTGTTGTCTCTCAAGAAGTGGACACTTACTTTCTGATGTCTGTTGTCTCTCAAGAAGAGGACACTTACTTTCTGATGTCTGTTGTCTCTCAAGAAGAGGACACTTACTTTCTGATGTCTGTTCTCTTTGAAGAGGAGGACACTTACTTTCTCATGTCTGTTGTCTTTGAAGAAGTGGACACTTACATTCTGATGTCTGTTGTCTCTCAAGAAGAGGACACTTACTTTCTGATGTCTGTTGTCTCTCAAGAAGAGGACACTTACTTTCTGATGTCTGTTGTCTTTGAAGAAGTGGACACTTACATTCTGATGTCTGTTGTCTTTGAAGAAGAGGACACTTACTTTCTTATGTCTGTTGTCTCTCAAGAAGAGGACACTTACATTCTGATGTCTGTTGTCTTTGAAGAAGTGGACACTAACATTCTGATGTCTGTTGTCTCTCAAGAAGTGGACACTTACATTCTGATCTCTGTTGTCTCTCAAGAAGTGGACACTTACATTCTGATGTCTGTTGTCTTTGAAGAAGTGGACACTTACATTCTGATGTCTGTTGTCTCTCAAGAAGTGGACACTTACATTCTGATGTCTGTTGTCTCTCAAGAAGTGGACACTTACATTCTGATGTCTGTTGTCTCTCAAGAAGAGGACACTTACTTTCTGATGTCTGTTGTCTCTCAAGAAGTGGACACTTACATTCTGATGTCTGTTGTCTCTCAAGAAGTGGACACTTACATTCTGATGTCTGTTGTCTTTGAAGAAGTGGACACTTACATTCTGATGTCTGTTGTCTTTGAAGAAGTGGACACTTACATTCTGATGTCTGTTGTCTCTCAAGAAGTGGACACTTACATTCTGATGTCTGTTGTCTCTCAAGAAGTGGACACTTACATTCTGATGTCTGTTGTCTCTCAAGAAGTGGACACTTACATTCTGATGTCTGTTGTCTCTCAAGAAGAGGACACTTACTTTCTGATGTCTGTTCTCTTTGAAGAAGAGGACACTTACTTTCTCATGTCTGTTGTCTTTGAAGAAGTGGACACTTACATTCTGATGTCTGTTGTCTCTCAAGAAGAGGACACTTACTTTCTGATGTCTGTTGTCTCTCAAGAAGAGGACACTTACATTCTGATGTCTGTTGTCTCTCAAGAAGTGGACACTTACATTCTGATGTCTGTTGTCTTTGAAGAAGTGGACACTTACATTCTGATGTCTGTTGTCTTTGAAGAAGTGGACACTTACATTCTGATGTCTGTTGTCTCTCAAGAAGAGGACACTTACTTTCTGATGTCTGTTCTCTTTGAAGAAGAGGACACTTACTTTCTCATGTCTGTTGTCTTTGAAGAAGTGGACACTTACATTCTGATGTCTGTTGTCTCTCAAGAAGAGGACACTTACATTCTGATGTCTGTTGTCTCTCAAGAAGAGGACACTTACATTCTGATGTCTGTTGTCTCTCAAGAAGTGGACACTTACATTCTGATGTCTGTTGTCTCTCAAGAAGTGGACACTTACATTCTGATGTCTGTTGTCTCTCAAGAAGAGGACACTTACTTTCTGATGTCTGTTCTCTTTGAAGAAGAGGACACTTACTTTCTCATGTCTGTTGTCTTTGAAGAAGTGGACACTTACATTCTGATGTCTGTTGTCTCTCAAGAAGAGGACACTTACTTTCTGATGTCTGTTGTCTCTCAAGAAGAGGACACTTACATTCTGATGTCTGTTGTCTCTCAAGAAGTGGACACTTACATTCTGATGTCTGTTGTCTTTGAAGAAGTGGACACTTACATTCTGATGTCTGTTGTCTTTGAAGAAGTGGACACTTACATTCTGATGTCTGTTGTCTCTCAAGAAGTGGACACTTACTTTCTGATGTCTGTTCTCTTTGAAGAAGAGGACACTTACTTTCTGATGTCTGTTGTCTTTGAAGAAGTGGACACTTACATTCTGATGTCTGTTGTCTCTCAAGAAGAGGACACTTACATTCTGATGTCTGTTGTCTCTCAAGAAGAGGACACTTACATTCTGATGTCTGTTGTCTTTGAAGAAGTGGACACTTACATTCTGATGTCTGTTGTCTCTCAAGAAGAGGACACTTACATTCTGATGTCTGTTGTCTTTAAAGAAGTGGACACTTACATTCTGATGTCTGTTGTCTTTGAAGAAGTGGACACTTACATTCTGATGTCTGTTGTCTCTCAAGAAGAGGACACTTACATTCTGATCTCTGTTGTCTCTCAAGAAGTGGACACTTACATTCTGATGTCTGTTGTCTCTCAAGAAGTGGACACTTACTTTCTGATGTCTGTTCTCTTTGAAGAAGAGGACACTTACTTTCTCATGTCTGTTGTCTTTGAAGAAGTGGACACTTACATTCTGATGTCTGTTGTCTCTCAAGAAGAGGACACTTACTTTCTGATGTCTGTTGTCTCTCAAGAAGAGGACACTTACATTCTGATCTCTGTTGTCTCTCAAGAAGTGGACACTTACATTCTGATGTCTGTTGTCTCTCAAGAAGTGGACACTTACTTTCTGATGTCTGTGGTCTCTCAAGAAGTGGACACTTACATTCTGATGTCTGTTGTCTTTGAAGAAGTGGACACTTACATTCTGATGTCTGTTGTCTCTCAAGAAGTGGACACTTACATTCTGATGTCTGTTGTCTCTCAAGAAGTGGACACTTACTTTCTGATGTCTGTTCTCTTTGAAGAAGAGGACACTTACTTTCTCATGTCTGTTGTCTTTGAAGAAGTGGACACTTACATTCTGATGTCTGTTGTCTCTCAAGAAGAGGACACTTACATTCTGATGTCTGTTGTCTCTCAAGAAGAGGACACTTACATTCTGATGTCTGTTGTCTCTCAAGAAGTGGACACTTACATTCTGATGTCTGTTGTCTCTCAAGAAGTGGACACTTACATTCTGATGTCTGTTGTCTCTCAAGAAGAGGACACTTACTTTCTGATGTCTGTTCTCTTTGAAGAAGAGGACACTTACTTTCTCATGTCTGTTGTCTTTGAAGAAGTGGACACTTACATTCTGATGTCTGTTGTCTCTCAAGAAGAGGACACTTACTTTCTGATGTCTGTTGTCTCTCAAGAAGAGGACACTTACATTCTGATGTCTGTTGTCTTTGAAGAAGTGGACACTTACATTCTGATGTCTGTTGTCTTTGAAGAAGTGGACACTTACATTCTGATGTCTGTTGTCTCTCAAGAAGAGGACACTTACTTTCTGATGTCTGTTGTCTCTCAAGAAGAGGACACTTACATTCTGATGTCTGTTGTCTCTCAAGAAGTGGACACTTACATTCTGATGTCTGTTGTCTTTGAAGAAGTGGACACTTACATTCTGATGTCTGTTGTCTTTGAAGAAGTGGACACTTACATTCTGATGTCTGTTGTC